CTTAAAAATGTTTCTATATTTTACCCACTAATTTTTCTTGTAAAAAAATCTGTCCTTAGACAATGTGATATAGGTATTTGTTATAACTTAATTTATGAAATGGGAAACTAAAAACCTTGATATCCAGTTATAAGGCAGTGGTTAAATTTGTTTTGCTTCAATTATATGATGGAGTATTATGCAATGATTGAAATAATTTTTTTAAATCAGTATTTCATGGCATGGCAATGATTATAATATATCAGGTGATTATAGCAGGAAATAAAACTTTAGAGATTCAAGTTTTATGAAAATGATGTATACCTATGTAAATGTATATAAATAATAGAAAAATTTTATTTTCTTCTTTATGGTTTTTAATTTCCTATATTTTGTATAATGATTGTTAAAATGCTTTTTAAAGTAATTCAAAGAATGAGTAGGAGAGGATAAAGTGTTGTGACTCTCTTTAGTCAACTATTTCCTCAGGAGTGTCTTGGTTTAACTGTTTTTTAAAGTACTTAATCTCACTCTTCTTATAAGCTTTTGCAACATTACTAACACCATAATGAATGAAAGTGATGGAAGAAGGGACCTAAGAAGAATGACAACTACCAGTGTTTACTGTATGCTAATATCTACCTTAGATCCTTTTTGCATATACATGAAAACCTATATCCCAAATAGGATGACTTCTTTTTGTGAGATAGTAATGAGGTAAATAAACAATTTGCCAGTGAATCCTTACGTCTTTATCGACACACTAACATATGCAAGACATTTATTGGAGCTGAAATTAAATTGTTTAGAACTGAAACAAATTTGGAAAGAAATCTAGGCTGTTCTGTGGTGCTGACAGTGGGGAGACATTACTAATTTCTTGATAAATAAACCGTACTTTGACTAACTGTACTTTGAATGATTTTCAGAAATTCTTATTTTTGTAGTACACAAAGAACTAGAAAATATCAGATAATACCAGATGTTATATTTTATTCCTGGTGGAGCTTTGAGGAGCCATGGCTTAAGAGCTGGAACCCAAGTTTTGGGGGTTGCTAGTAATTTATTGAGAGCCCATGAGTTAGTCCCATAATCTTTATGCTATAATTTGCCTTGTGTGAAGTGGGGCATCAGACTAGAAACAGTGATTTTTCAAGTTCTCTCTTACTGAAAGCCCCAGGGCGACAAGCACTGTGAGAATTTTTGTTCATGGATTTAGAGGGCCTGCATAGGAGCCAGCGTGTAACTTGCACATAATCAGTGTTTAATAACCATGAGTTAAGGGAATGACTGAGTGTACCTTTGTGGAGCCCTGTTGGGACTCTGCTTTCCCACCAGAGCTTCACCCAGAATAATTCTGCTTATATCAGCTTTCTATATTGGGCATAAGGTAAGACTTCATTAAAAAACTAAAAATGATTTTGCTGCTGAAAATAAAAATGTGAAGTCTCTGAGCTAAAGTCCTTTCAATTCTTTGATAATTTAATGCGTGCTATTATTTAAAAAAATACAGATCACAGTCCCTCTTACTCTCATTTTCCCCTTTTATACATTACCAAATTCTATGCTAGAGCTGTGTATAAATTGTATTTATGACAGAGAGAGGAACAATCTGTGCTTTGATGGATGAATCAGAGGTGCCTAGGCAGAGAAGGGAGGATGGGATATGCCAGTCAAAAAAAGCAGCATATGCAAAGCAGAGTCATGAGAGAGTATGGCAGGTTTAGAGAAGTGAGAAATATCCTGTGACTGGCATGCAGGGCTGGAGGAAGGTAGTAAGGGATGTGGCTGGTGGAGGCTCCCATCATAAAGAGCCTCATATGCTTGGTGAAGACTTTAGCTTTGCCTGGTGGAGAAACAAGCCAGTGATATTTTAAGAAAGCAAGGTAACATAGTCATATTTGTATTTTACTAAAAATTCTTTATCACATTGTTGAGGTTAGGTCTTTGGTACCTAAAGGATATCTCTTAAGATACCTCTTGATCTTGGGTTCAGTGGAACTGGTATCATAAATTCTTTCAAAAAGTTTTCTTTATCAAACTGTAGTGTTCCTTTTATTTTTTTTTCAGGGTTGGTTTACAGAATTCTAAAAATGATTCTTTATATATGCCATAACTCTTTCCAAGTGAAAAACTTAACTGTCTTAAGAATCTTTAATTTATAACTATCCTAACATGTAGAGGGGATAAATAAACAACTTTGGAGACAGTAACAGTCATTTTTACCCAAATATTTTCTACTTAAATGTAATTTCATTTGTTTATCACTATTAGATACCCATGAGGAACCTACCCACAAGAGATTGGATATCACATTCAAGGCATAGTGTATTGAAATTGGGACTATGGACTAGATGTTAGATTCGTCATGAATTGTAATTTTATTTTATCATGTCAAGCTAAATTTTACCTTGCCTAAAACACTTACCAGTCCTTTTATTTACAGAAAAATAACACGATACCCATATTTTGATGACAGATACACCGTAAGCCACATGCTCTATCTATGATAGGGAAAAAGCTTGCCACTGGGTGTGACTTCGGTCTAACTTAACACTTAGTTTTAACTTGTTACTTTATGACATCTAGACTTTAGTATATACCATCAATCAAAATAATAAATGAGTTAGTGTCATAAGTGAAGTAAAATGAAAAAAAGAAAGATGCACTTAAAGTGTAATAAAAACCTCTTTTGCCATGCCACTAAACAAAGAATATTGCAAACATTGGGAGATTTCATTTGCTGCAAGAATCCTGAAAGAAATAATTAAAAGGACATAAAATGGCTATTACCAAAATGCATCTAAAACAGTCGAAATCCTGTAAGGGAAATGGAATAGAAATAGAATGACCCATTTTCCCATTAAGCTGTTCAGTGTAATGTTTATGCATGTGTGTATATATATATATTTTCAATTTTTTTACCTTTTTGCCTTCCTAATACTAATTTCATTTTCAAGTTATGTAAAACATTAACTTCAGCTAGTGCTTGAAACCACCTTCAGATTCATGCTGAAATATTGTCTTAATTTTTCCTGGAAAGTCATCAAACAGCCAAGATACAGAATTTAGTCAGGGTGGAAAACAAAGAAAAGCAAAGTACTTTTCTAGAGAGCTAAAGCAACATAAACTTTGTAGGAATTCTTAGGCTCAATAGAGATAATGAAAACTAGCATTTCTTTAGTTCCTACTGTGTGCAAGGGTAAGCTATTTAATTCTTGCAATGAGCCTATGAAATAGGCACTTTCATCCCATTTCATAGATGAGGCTTAGAGAGATTAAATTATTTAGGTTACAGAGGTATTAAGTGATAGATTTGTACCCAGACCTGGGTCCTCTTGAGCCTGATCTTTTATGCTGCCTCAAAGTCATAAGTAATGACTTCTAGGCAATATGCACCCCCATTCACCCTGGCCATACACTGTCATAGCACTTTCCTCATTGTGTTATAATTGTCTCTTCACATGCCTACCTCCCCCTACTTCATGGTTGGCTCTTCCAAGGCAAAGAGTGTCTAATTTATCCAACTAGTTTCAGGGGTGTAATTCAGTGGCATGACCCGTAGGAGAGCTCAGTTAGTGCCTATTGCACAACTGTTGTTGTTAGAAGCCACTAAAAATTAATATATTAAAGAAAATTATTATGGAAAAAAACTGATATGAAGGAAGTTAACTGCTCTTAAATTTCTGTTAGGCATTCCTTTCCTCAAAAATGAGACTTCCAAGAGTTAGGTAGCTGATGGCTCCTGCTTACAGGAATTCAAAGGAGTATGAGAAAATCCCAGAGAAATGCCTAAGTGATGTGAAATAATATGTACAGTATTAGGAAAGGTTAAGGAAAGGGACACTGAAGCACAATTTAGGTAATGGTCTTTGCATTTATGATGGACTCATCTTCTACACAGGGAAGCAACCAGCTTTTCTTGATAGTGAGCCCCAAATAAACGGAATACTTGGGATATTTCCAGCCGTAAGTAATTTTTTAAAAGGCTAAAATGCAATTAGTACAGGAAAGAAAACTATTTTATATTAAACATTATTCAGTACAACTTAATGGGAGAAGTTAGTTTAGACTTCAGCTTGAAAAATTGAAAGCCTATCAAAGAAAAGCATTTCTCAATATAAGGAATAGTTTACCACAGGGTTGGAAGAGGATCCTGAGTTTGCACATGCAACTTTAAAGTGGGTAGTATTGACTTCTGTCATCCCATCTTGCTCAATGATGCTCTGATTAAATGTGATGATAATGTCCATTTTAATCTAGTTCTTAAATTGCCTGCTCTGAAAGCTTCAGGCAATAAAACCTCTCTAATCCTAGCTCTCTAGGTATGTTTTTGCCATTTGTTTGCTCTTCTAAAGGATGCCTAAAGCTTGTATTTTGCTGTTGCCCTCAGCAGTCTTTAGGAGTGAAAGACCAAAATGAGCAAGGGCTGCCATGCAAAATGATGTGCCCACCTTGCGGACATTGACATTTCCAGTTGCCTAAGGCCCACATAATGGTGCATACTGTTTTCACTCCCTGGACATAAGTCCATTTGTAAAATGAAAATATTTCAGAGTGAAAAACATAAAAAATGGAGTTATAACAGCCAGTTGCCAGCATAACAAGTTGCAAGGGTGCTTCTGTTGATTTTATTTTCTTATAACAGGTTGATATGAATCTACCTCAAATATGGAACAAGTTCGTTATACTGAATTTTGATTTTTTATGAAAAAATTCTAAAACAGAGACTAGACATTTTTTCTGAAACTTGTTGTGACCACCTAAACACTATTCTTTCTATGAGGAGAGCCATACCCAATTACAAACTGTACTGTGTGGTGCTGGATTGTAAAGGTCCATGTGCTCCTCAGCCCATCTCCCTGGATTGTTAGGTCCTAGAGAACAGAGCCATGTCTTTTAACTTGGCCTTTCTAATATCTAGTGCAGTGTTTTGCAGATAAGTATTTGTTAGATGACTTTTTTTCTGAAGTAGGTCCTTTCCTTTTTCTTCTCACTTATTCATCTTTCACTTTTTTCAGGTCCTCTCCATCTGTCCCAAGGATATGAGAGCTGATATCTGTGTTCATCTAAACCGGAAGGTTTTTAATGAACATCCTGCTTTTCGATTGGCCAGCGATGGGTGTCTGCGTGCCTTGGCGGTAGAGTTCCAAACTATTCACTGTGCTCCTGGAGACCTCATTTACCATGCTGGAGAAAGTGTGGATGCCCTCTGCTTTGTGGTATCAGGATCCTTGGAAGTCATCCAGGATGATGAGGTGGTGGCTATCTTAGGTACTGTGAACCTTCCTAATGTAGTAGCAAATGTGTAACAGTTTTAGAGATTTTGCTTCTCAGGTTTCTTATGAAAAATTTCCTTTGCTTGGTAACTTTGGAAATTGGACCACTAATGAGATGATGAATCTTAGTGAAAACTAGTAATGCTGTTTCAGCAAAGAACATTAGTACTGGTTACAGCTTAATGGGCTGCATGAGGGTTTGATTAAGTTTTCTTTGGCAACATAGAACAATACCATTTAGACTAGAGCTGATCACAGCCAAAGGTGGCTTGTACCACCATGTTGGTAACTGTGAAAATGGCTTCTGAAATGATGGTCAGGTTAGTAACACAGAATGCTAGTCTCAGAGGGCAAAAGAAGCTGCTTACTTCAGTAATTTTCTTTAGAGATGAGCAAAGTGAGGCTCAGGAAGGTTTAGTGGCTTACCAGTTAGTGAGTGAGTTAGGGCGTGAGTACAGATCATCTTACTCTAAATCTTTGTACCTCATCACAGTGGACCTAAGTAGTGACTAAGAGTGATGAAGAGGTAAATGAATTTCATCTATTATATTGGAGTACTTATAATGCAACTAAATTAGATTTATAAAGCTGGTTTCTATCCATTCATGAACCAGGTAAATTATTTAACCGATAGTAAATTTATCTAAAAATTCAGAGACCATAGATGTATTAATAAGAAAAAGTCAGTGGTAGTGTATGGAAGTGACAAAATTTTTTTAATTACATGTTTGGGGACAGTCTAATTTATATAGGTAAAAGAGTGCTAAACGATATTTCCAATCATTTTCTGCTCAAATATTTGCAGCAGGTTCATCAAATCCATATAAATTTAAAGGAAGCAATAATAGGGTCAGAGAAGAATCATCCCTTGCTTTTCTCTAAAGTAAAATGAGTTAGATTTGTAGGATGTCAACTCCATTTTGAACACATTTTTCATGGCTTGTGTCCCATGAAAAATGAGCTCAATTTTTCAACTATTGAATTTTTTAGCTACCGAGGTTAACCTACCATAGCTTGAATGCCACTTATGCTCATAAGTAAAAGTACGACTGATGTATTTTAGAAACTGCAATTACCCAAAAAAAACAAGAGTTGAGAACTAAAAAGAAATGACCCTTCCTAGGAAAACAAGTTCAGGAAAATTTGTAAGTTATATAAAATAGGGTTGCAAATGACTGAACAATATTGTTTGTAAACCTTTCCTTAACTGGTTAGAAATTACATTACAGTTATGGTGAAATTTCATTTAGGAACTATTTTTATTTTTTATTTTTGCAAGAAAAATTCATACAGTATTTTTAGAGTCAGCACCGTGAATGTGTTTAACACTAGTGCTTGTTCTGCTTTGTTTCCTGGGGTGTAAAGGAGTTTTACGTAACCCTTCATAAAAAGTGTACATCTTGCCAGAACAATCCTTTGTGGTAAAATGAAGCATATACATGCCACAAACAGTCTTGTTTGCTTAAAGAAGAGGATAAAATACAAGCCCCAAACAGGTGTATTTTTTTTTCCCTGAATGTTTGTGTCGATGGTGGGAGAATAGACATCAAATATATGACAGTAAAGTGAGTATCCTTGTGACAAATTACCTCAGCTGTGTACTCACTGTCATTTGCTTTGCCTCATTTTCTTCATTACAGCGTCACCTTGGTAACTTATTTTCTAAAAAGAAGGATGGAGAAAGCCCTTAGTGCAGTGCCTCTGGGCTGGGTCAGCTAAGCTGGAATCATTTGCTCAGTGAAACAGACAAAATGCATTTTCTTTTCATTTAAAAATAAAATGGTAGCTGCTTTGCCCAGTAACAGAGTAAAAATGAACACAGGGCCCCTGGGTATTGGACCAGTCTCATCATATATCTGTTAACATATTCTTTGAGTGTGTGCTTTTTACTTATCCTCCTCAAAAATCTTGGGACTCAGAGATTTTTCATCTCTTGGCTTAATGAGTCAAATTATATGTACACCTCTCTGGCAACCTTTCTTTCTTCCATGAACTTCCAACAAAGATTAGTTCAGCCATTAATAAGTCAGAAAGTTTTCTTAAAAAAAAAAAAATGTTTAGACCCGTTCGTGAGTGGGTGAGACACCGGAGGCAGCACACAGGCCTGCGGGCCGCCTTGCGTCACGGGCAGAGCCGAGACACTGCCCTGCATGAGTCTGAGTCTGAGATCTGGGTCAGTGACGACACGGCCGGCGGAGATGAGCTTCAGGCAGTCGTCCTGGAGTTGGCCTTGCGCCAGTCTCAGTTTACAGGAGAGGCATCTGAGGAGATTGTGGGCCCGCGGTGTGCACTCGAGGTGACCTTTGGCGGGAGAGGGAGCATGCCACATGTGAGGGGTGATGCACCAAGGGCCCCACGGAGTGCATCTACCATGCTGACCTCGCCCTTGTGCTCAGGTTCCACCCCAGAGGCAGCTGAAGACGGGTGTCCCGTGCAGCCTGTGCTCTGCCCGAGGGGCTGGAACCTGCCAGGAGAGCCTTCCCTGGCTGAGCCAGCTTCTTGACTTGTAGGTCATGGCACTGGCTCAATCTTGTGACTGTGGTTTCCATGGGGGATGCATGTTTTTAAATAAAAAATACTTTCTTTTACAATTAAAAAAAACAGTCAAGATGCTTTAGCAATGTTTTAAGAAAGGGAGAAGAAACTAGTAACTCATTGTGTCACTCCTGACTTTTTGATGACTGTCCCTTCCTTTCCTGACCCTATTTTCCTTCTTCCTGTTCTCATATTTTGGTAGTTTAATTTTGAAAGAATTAAAAACAATAAAAAATTTCAAAAATTGTCAGGGTGTGAAGGTTCATACGTCTTTATCTTTTCTACTTATTAAGTTGCTTAGGGCTTTTCTATCTTCACTTGTTTTTTCTTCTTCTTGAACTGTCATTTGAACCAAGAGTGACATGTTAAGGTATCTTATTAATGTGTTTTATTATGTCTCCTTGCATCTCCTGTACTTTGTGCATTATAATAGTTATTGCTACGTTATTTGGTGCACAGATATTCATAGCCATTGTATATTCATTGCGACTTGTGGCTTTTAGCATTGAACTTTGTCCTTTTTCATCATATCTAAGGACTTTTGCTTCATAAAGGTCAGAGAGAAATGGCATTCCTCACATCTGAGTACACCTCATTAGAAAAATGAGAATTTGTCTTAACTGGTCTGATAGAAGAAATAATCTCTCTTACAGTGATTAATTTGCCAGTTAAAAGGTGGGGAGGAGGAGGGGAATTTAGAATTAATTAAAAACTCTGAATTCAAAAAACAGGTGCAGTTTCATTTTTTTGGATCTTTGCCTCTCAGCAGTCTCTTGGTAGGTACATAATTCTGTGTGTCAAAAGTGCTAAGGTGTTTAATGAATAAGTTCTGAAGCATAACTAATTAATGGAAAGATAAAAAATGTAGTCAACAAATACCTTCTTTTTTTAACTCTGAAGGATGGCTTCAAGATGTTTTTCTAAATAGGGCATATGAAGATAATTGCAGTTCATGTCTTTTTCCCATTTGAAGTTCTTTCAGTTTTTACACCTCCACCTTTTTTTTTGACCTTCCACTTTTTATGAAATACAAAGAATTCCAAATTAAACTCAATGATATTTTATATTCTTTAATATCTTCTTGCTTTTTAGTTCCTATTCTATAATTGCTTAAGTGAACAGATTTATGGGTATGGCTAAAATAGCCAGGTGACTGCTACATGTCTTGACAAGGAATATTGTACCTTTTAGAGGTTATAAAAATGGCATTTCCCCACTAATAATAGACCTGGCTTCTAAGATAATTGCTTTGTTGCTTTCACATTTTGTCTTTTATCTTCTATATTTATTGATTATTAGAATCATACAATTTGCATTATTAATTGAAGACAATCTGTATCTAAATCTTTTAATTATAACTTTAAGTTCCCAGGAGAATTATGCTTGTTTATATAAAGTTTGAATGCACAAATTAGTTATTATGGGGCTGGGGGAAGGGAACATAAGTGAAGAAGGGAAAGGCAGAATTAAATGAACTTAATAATATAAAAAAGATAATTTCTTATACCAGGGTTAAGATTCCATTTTAATTAGAACTATTTATAAACATTTGTACATTATCAAGGAAAACTTTTAAATTGTGGTTCTCGAAACTTAAAATTTGCTTCTGATTTTTATTCCAAAAAGAAAAAATCTGAGATGTGAATGAATACTTTGCTATTTTGAGAATCTGTGAAAATGTGACTTTTATGCTGTGGTTAAGATTTCTTCCTGCATCCTTGCTATTTAGAAGTCAAATGCTTCACACTTTAAATCCTTAAAAGGGCTTTTCCCAAGCCCCAGAAAAAATTGTTTTCTTTTGCATCCACATTTCTGTGTTTTGAGTTGTTGAACTGTGAACCAGGTAGGTTTGTTCCACATATTATGGTGATGAACTTAGTTAATTCAGACATTTTTGTAAGGGGCAAACCAGTTATTTGCTTTAAAAAAAATTTGCATGCTTGTCTTGTTTTAAACTTTGTAAGTAGTGATTATAATGTCATTTGTCTGTGGTTCAAATTATACACTTTAGAGTTCCTCAGCCTGTAGGTTTTTGGATAAAATATGAGTCCTCACAATCTGGTGCTTTAGATGCCAAACCCTCTTCCTGCCATCCTTCAAAATCTTGTTTATGCTATCTCCTTGGTATCTCTTTATCCTGTTCTTAATAATCCCTTCCTATGAGCACTGCTCCTAAAATTTTGGATGTAGGCTGTGACTGCCTAGCTGTCATTATCTTCCACCTCCAATGCTACGTTATGCTGACGCCACAATAATCTTTCTGATATGAAACTGTCAGTCTCCTCATGAGGATTGGCTTTTTAGCACCTTGGAGATAACTTCTAGTATGGCCTATGAAGCTATTAAGATCTTGGTCTCTGCCCTTGTTTCCATCCTGATTTGTGCCATTCCCCCTACTGTTCTCACCACACTGAATTGCAGGAAGTTTATTTAGTTCTACCAACTTTCCTCTTCCTGGTA